CACACACACACACACACACACACACACACACACACACACACACACACCTTTTTAAAAAAGAAGTGTATTTTTAGTGAGGTGGTCCCAGGGTATTTTTAGAATGCTATATTGAACTCCCCAAATATGCTTGATATGTACCAGACTTGATAAAGAGGTACTTTCTTCAGGCTCTATGTATTCGTTTCCTTCATTTGCGTGCTCCACGATGACAGTGTGGGGTCATAGGGCATTGATGCATGTGAGGTATGGGTAGATAGATGCCAGGAGAGATTTTCCTCAGTGGCTTTTGATACCACAGGATGAATGACCTCCACAACACCAGGAGGTGTGGAGGGTGTTTGGTGTGAAACGTTTTGAATGACCTGCCTGGAAATACAGTTTCACAGGAAGAAACTTTATGCTAAGATGATGTCAGTGTTTTGTTTTTAGTGAAAAGATCCACAGGTCTTTGATGCTGTCTTCCTGTTGTGTAAATGAACCACAGAGGGGGAGTTGTGTGGTCAAAGGGTTAACTCTGCTTTGACTACAGACCTAGAGTCCATAACTTCTTTGATTCTTTTGTAGTTGAGTGAAATTGAGGTAGTCATGGAAAGATTAGTACTGCTGGCCTACCCAAAACTTCCACAGGGTTAAAACAAGAGAGCTGTTTTCCCTCTGAGATCAGAGATAGGCTTATTTCTTCACATAACAAATTCTGTACTGTGTCAGTAAATTGTAGACATCAGTGAGCTGCTTATTATGATTCTGAAATGAAGATAAAAATAATGTTTATATCTAGGATGGGTAGTGATTTTTATTTCTAAGAGGTTGTTCATCTGACTTTGGCAGATTTCTATCCTGCATATTTGATGAATGGAATAAAAAAGTCAAAATGACCCGTCTATGTATTTACACAGTTGTAAATCACTGTCTGTTTTAATACCATTGATGTAGATTAATACCAGCACTCAAAATAATACCAGTTTCAGAGATAACATTGGATGTCTTTTACAAATAGTTTGATATTTAATTTGTTTTCCATAATCATTCTTACTTAATGCTTGAGGAATCCAAGACAAAGGTTAATGATTTCCTAGAGACTCAGGCTAGTAACAGGCAGAGTCAGAACTATAACGAGTTCTATGTTCAGTGCATTGTTCTGACTTATAAATGTGTAAGAATAGAAATAAAATATAAGATTAATTTTTAGTGTAGGATTAAATATATAATGTATAAATTGTCTATTTCCCTAATTTAACTCTATTTGAGGGTTTAAAGCTTACTATTTTACAAGTTAAACATAATCCTAATAAAAATACGACAATAGCAAGAAACATTAAAATGGAATTAAAATGAAAATAGTGCCATCATTCAGTATTAGAACTAGTCAACAACTTTCTTTGTGTTTTCTGAGTGTATACACATATGTGTGTGGTTTGCCACTTTGGAAGGATGTGATGAAAATAGTTCTGTGTAAATATAAATATACTTTCACAGCTTAATTTTCAATAGCTAATATTATTTTGATTGTCATGTTCACTTATTTAGTCTGCAGTTGGATATTTAGGCTGACCTCTAATTCTTAGGATTATGTCTTGCAACTTTGTACTTACCTTGTTATGTATTTCCCTTAGGATAAATTCCTTGATCTGAAGCTGGTGGATCAATGTTTATTATCTTACAGTTTGACTCATATTACTAACTTAATCATTGACAATTGTGTCAGGTTGTACTAAGACAGCAGTGTGTAAACTTGCTGGTTCCCGCATTTCTCTCTGATATTGCACGTATCACTTAAAATTTCTTTGATTACTAAGGTAGTTAAAAATGTTAATAGATACTTATTTTCGATCTGTTTTCTTTTTCTTAGTAATTCCCAGGAGTGCCATGTGCATTGAATCTAATGGACTGACGTTTGAGTTGACAGTTCTCTCGTTTATTCCCTTCTCCTCTCTCTGCCAAGCAGATACAGATACTTCTTTATATTTCTTCCTTTACCCTCTTCTTTTCAGGTCCTTTTGGGTCACTTTTTATTCATAAAGCCATTTACCTTATTTTATCTACTCCTATAAGTACCTTTGGTGTTTTAATTGACAGGGTTTTTTTGCATATCGTTTAAGGTAAGATTAATTTATTTTTACTTCTGTAAAAGTTGACCAAACAGTATAGATGATGTTTTTTATTGGCATAAACTATAATTTTTTTCTCTTTTTAGTTTATTTAATTAATTAATTTATTACTTTATTATAGTTTATTCACTTTGTATTCCCGCTATAGCACCCTGCCTCATCTCCTCCCAGTCCCACCCTCCCTCTTCTCCTCCCATGCCCCTCCCCCAGTCTACTGATAGGGGAGGTCCTTCTTCCCTTCCATCTGACCCTAGCCTTTCAGGTCTCATCAGGACTGGCTGCATTGTCTTCCTCTGTGGCCTGGCAAGGCTGTACCCCTCAGGGGGAAGTAAACAAAGAGTTGGCCACTGAGTTCATGTCAGAGACAGCCCCTGCTCCCCTTACTAGGGATCCCACTTGGAAACTGAGCAGCTTATAGGCTTCCTCTCAGCAGGAGATCTCATCTAAAAAAAAGCCCAGGGCCAGACGGTTTCAGCGCAGAATTCGACCAGACCTTCAAAGAAGAGCTAACACCAATACTCTTCAAACCATTTCACAAAATAGAAACAGAAGGAACATTACCAACCTCGTTCTGTGAGGCCACAGTCACCTTAATACCTAAGCCACACAAAGACCCAACAAAAAAAGAAACTTCAGACCTATCTCTTTTATGAACATTGACACTATAATACTTGCAAACTGAATCCAAGAACACATTAAAGATAGCATCCACCACGACCAAGTAGGCTTCATCCCAGGCATGCAGGGGTGGTTCAATATACGGAAATCCATCAATTTTATCTTAAGTAAGTGAAGTAGTCTATTTCTGGTCGTCGTCGTCGTCCTCCTCCTCCTCCTCCTCCTCCCTCCTCCTCCTCCTCCTCTTCTTTTTGGTTTTTCGAGACAGGGTTTCTCTGTGTAACCTTGGCTGTTCTCTGTGTAACTCTATAGACCAGGCTGGCCTTCAACTCACAGAGATCCACCTGCCTCTGCCTCCCCAGTGCTGGGATTGCAGGCGTGCACCGCAGCACCTAGCTTAATTCTGCTCTTGCTTACTGTCTTTTTAGTCTTTCTGATTAACTTATGTAGGTACAATTGGGAAGTCCATTCATTTTTATTTTTAGCCTAGAGAAGATGATCAGTAATGAAGCGATTGTGAACTTTTTCTAGATAAAAGTTTCGTCACTGGCTCCCATGTTGGAGAACTCATTGTCTGGGATGCGCTGGACTGGACTGTGCAGGCCTGCGAGTGCAGCTTCTGGAGCCCGTCTTCACAGCTGGATGCCCAGCAGGAAATAAAGCTCTTCCAGAAACAAAACGACATTTCTATCCATCATTTCACATGCGATGAGGAGGTAACCAGTACGAATTATAGTTGTTGCAATAAAATCAGTACCTGATATTTCAAGGCTTATGTATCGGTGTAAAATGTGACTCCAGGCTGTTGGGATGGTTCAGTGGGCAGAGACGCTTAGCACAAACGTAACAACCTGAGTTCAATGGGCAAGATCCACAGGGTTGAGAGAAACACACACCACACACACTACACACACCTCCACACGGCACCCCATCCCACATACACCACACACACACATACACACATGCACACACACACACACACACATGCACACAAACACACACACACACACCACACACACTACATACACCTCCACACGCCACCCCATCCCACATACACCACACACACACACACACACACACACCACACACATGCACCACATATACACCACAGACATCTCACACACACACACACATGCACCACACACACACACATATACACCACACACACATCCACCACATAAGTCACACACACAAACCACACATATGCACCACACACAGACACACCACATACCTCACACACACATTATACACGTCAAACACACACCACCCCCACAGACACCCCAAACGCATCATACAGACACCTCATACAGACACAGTGTGGAAATGTTGCCTGTGTGTGTTACCTGTACTTCTGTACATGGTTTTGCATGTGGCGCTGCAGCCACAGGTGAGGCTGGAGGTCAGTATCAAATGTCTTCCCCCATCAGTTTTCACCTTATTTAATTTTTTTATTTTTTAAAAATATATTTATGCGTGTCTGTGACGTGTATGTGTGTGTGTGTCTGTGACATGTGTGTGTTTCTGTGACATGTGTGTGTGTCTGTGACGTGTGTGTGTCTGTGACGTGTGTGTGTCTGTGACGTGTGTGTGTGTCTGTGACGTGTGTGTGTGTATGTGTGTGTGTCTGACGTGTGTGTGTCTGTGACGTGTGTGTGTGTCTGTGATGTGTGTGTATGTGTGTGATGTGTGTGTATGTCTGTGACTGTGTCTGTGACGTGTGTGTGTGTCTGTGACGTGTGTGTGTGTGTCTGTGACTGTGTGTGTGTGTCCCTGACGTGTGTGTGTGTCTGTGACGTGTGTGTGTCTGTGACTGTGTGTGTGTGTCTGTGACGTGTGTGTGACTGTGTGTGT